TTGGCCGGGAATCGGACCCGGGTCTCCTGCGTGGCAGGCGAGAATTTCTACCACTGAACCATCAATGCTCTACATCTTCCTAAAGACACGTCACTGTGTGATCGGTACATTCAGGCAGGTTATGCTTCATGGGTCGCGAAATAGATGGAAGATGAGGAAGACTTATTGATCTTGAGTTAAAACATCTTTAACGAGAGGCACATCATTTGAGGCGGCACATTGACGACAAGATTCATGAGGGCAAATTATTGCCCTTGAGCTGGCAATCGCTGTCAGTAATTTGGATTAGCAGAAGTTGCATAACAAAGCTTTTTTGAAGACCATGACCTCAGTCACACCATAAGGAACTTCTTGCATTGGCCGGGAATCGGACCCGGGTCTCCCGCGTGGCAGGGCGAGAATTCTACCACTGAAACACCAATGCTCTACATCTTCCAAACGACACGTCACTGTGTGATCGGTACATTCAGGCAGGTTATGCTTCATGGGTCGCGAAATAGATGGAAGATTGATCTTGGGTTAAAACATCTTTAACGAGAGGCACATCATTTGAGGCGGCACATTGACGACAAGATTCATGAGGGCAAATTATTGCCCTTGAGCTGGCAATCGCTGTCAGTAATTTGGATTAGCAGAAGTTGCATAACAAAGCTTTTTTGAAGACCATGACCTCAGTCACACCATAAGGAACTTCTTGCATGTGCCGGGAATCGGACCCAGGTCTCCCGCGTGGCAGGCGAGAATTCTACCACTGAACCACCAATGCTCTACATATTCTAAACGACTTGTCACTGTGTGATCGGTACATTCAGGCAGGTTATGCTTCATTGGTCGCGAAATAGATGGAAAATGAGGAAGATTTATTGATCTTGGGTTAAAACATCTTTAACGAGAGGCACATCATTTGAGGCGGCACATTGACGACAAGATTCATGAGGGCAAATTATTGCCCTTGAGCTGGCAATCGCTGTCAGTAATGTGGCTAAGCAGAAGTTACATAACAAAGCTTTTTTGAAGACCATGACCTCAGGCACACCATAAGGAACATTTTGCATTGGCCGGGAATCGGACCCGGGTCTCCCCCGTGGCAGGCAAGAATTCTACCACTGAACCACCAATGCTCTACATCTTCCAAAAGACACTTCACTGTGTGATCGGTACATTCAGGCAGGTTATGCTTCATGGGTCCCGAAATAGATGGAAGATGAGGAAGACTTATTGATCTTCGGTTAAAACATCTTTAACGAGAGGCACATCATTTGAGGCGGCACATTGACGACAAGATTCATGAGGGTAAATTATTGCCCTTGAGCTGGCAATCGCTGTCAGTAATGTGGATTAGCAGAAGTTACATAACAAAGCTTTTTTGAAGACCATGACCTCAGGCACACCATAAGGAACTTTTTGCATTGGCCGGGAATCGGACCCAGGTCTCCCACGTGGCAGGCGAGAATTCTACCACTGAACCACCAATGCTCTACAGTCACATGACGACACTTCCTTGTGTGATTGGTACATTCAGGGAAGGAGGTTATGCTTCATGGGTCGCGAAATAGATGGAAGATGAGGAAGACTTATTGATCTTGGGTTAAAACATCTTTAACGAGAGGCACATCATTTGAGGCGGCACATTAACGACAAGATTCATGAGGGCAAATTATTGCCCTTGAGGTGGCAATCGCTGTCAGTAATGTGGATTAGCAGAAGTTACATAACAAAGCTTTTTTGAAGACCATTACCTCAGGCACACCATAAGGAACTTTATGCATTGGCCTGGAATCGGACCCTGGTCTCCCGCGTGGCAGGCGAGAATTCTACCACTGAACCACCAATGCTCTACATCTTCCAAAAGACACGTCACTGTGTGATCGGTACATTCAGGCAGGTTATGCTTCATGGGTCGCGAAATAGATGGAAGATGAGGAAGACTTATTGATCTTGAGTTAAAACATCTTTAACGAGAGGCACATCATTTGAGGCGGCACATTGACGACAAGATTCATGAGGGCAAATTATTGTCCTTGAGCTGGCAATCGCTGTCAGTAATGTGGATTAGCAGAAGTTACATAACAAAGCTTTTTTGAAGACCATGACCTCAGGCAAACCATAAGGAACTTTTTGCATTGACCGGGAATCGGACCCGGGTCTCCAGCTTGGGAAGCGAGAATACTACCACTGAAGCACCAATGCTCTCCAGCCTCATAACGGCACGTCCTCGTGTGATTGGTACAATCAGGGAAGGAGTTTATGCTTCATGGGTCGCGAAATAGATGAAAGATAAGGAAGACTTATTGATCACATTGACGACAAGATTCATGAGGGTAAATTATTGCCCTTGAGCTGGCAATCGCTGTCAGTAATGTGGATTAGCAGAAGTTACATAACAAAGCTTTTTTGAAGACCATGACCTCAGTCACACCATAAGGAACTTCTTGCATTGGCCGGCAATCGGACCCGGGTCTCCCGCGTGGCAGGCGAGAATTCTACCACTGAACCACCGATGCTCTACGTCTTCTAAGCGACACGTCACTGTGTGATCAGTACATTCAGGCAGGTTATGCTTCATGGGTCGCAAAAATAGATGGAAAATGAGGAAGATTTATTGATCTTGGGTTAAAACATCTTTAACGAGAGGCACATCATTTGAGGCGACACATTGACGACAAGATTCATGAGGGCAAATTATTGCCCTTGAGCTGGCAATCGCTGTCAGTAATGTGGCTTAGCAGAAGTTACATAACAAAGCTTTTTTGAAGACCATTACCTCAGGCACACCATAAGGAACTTTTTGCATTGGCCGGGAATCGGACCCGGGTCTACCGCGTGGCAGGCGAGAATTCTACCACTGAACCACCAATGCTCTACATCTTCCAAAAGACACGTCACTGTGTGATCAGTACATTCAGGCAGGTTATGCTTCATGGGTCGCGAAATAGATGGAAGGTGAGGAAGACTTATTGATCTTGAGTTAAAACATCTTTAACGAGAGGCACATCATTTGAGGCGGCACATTGACGACAAGATTCATGAGGGCAAATTATTGGCCTTGAGCTGGCAATCGCTGTCAGTAATGTGGATTAGCAGAAGTTACATAACAAAGCTTTTTTGAAGACCATGACCTCAGGCACACCATAAGGAACTTTTTGCATTGGCCGGGAATCGGACCCGGGTCTCCCGCTTGGGAGGCGAGAACACGACCACTGAACCACCAATGCTCTCCAGCCTCACAACGGCACGTCCTCGTGTGATTGGTACAATCAGGGAAGGAGTTTATGCTTCATGGGTCGCGAAATAGATGAAAGATAAGGAAGACTTATTGATCACATTGACGACAAGATTCATTGGCAAATGAATCGGCAAATTATTCACGGCAAATTATTGCCCTTGAGCTGGCAATCGCTGTCAGTAATGTGGCTTAGCAGAAGTTACATAACAAAGCTTTTTTGAAGACCATTACCTCAGGCACACCATAAGGAACTTTTTGCATTGGCCGGGAATCGGACCCGGGTCTCCTGCGTGGCAGGCGAGAATTTCTACCACTGAACCATCAATGCTCTACATCTTCCTAAAGACACGTCACTGTGTGATCGGTACATTCAGGCAGGTTATGCTTCATGGGTCGCGAAATAGATGGAAGATGAGGAAGACTTATTGATCTTGAGTTAAAACATCTTTAACGAGAGGCACATCATTTGAGGCGGCACATTGACGACAAGATTCATGAGGGCAAATTATTGCCCTTGAGCTGGCAATCGCTGTCAGTAATTTGGATTAGCAGAAGTTGCATAACAAAGCTTTTTTGAAGACCATGACCTCAGTCACACCATAAGGAACTTCTTGCATGTGCCGGGAATCGGACCCAGGTCTCCCGCGTGGCAGGCGAGAATTCTACCACTGAACCACCAATGCTCTACATATTTTAAACGACTTGTCACTGTGTGATCGGTACATTCAGGCAGGTTATGCTTCATTGGTCGCGAAATAGATGGAAAATGAGGAAGATTTATTGATATTGGGTTAAAACATCTTTAAGGAGAGGCACATCATTTGAGGCGGCACATTGACGACAAGATTCATAAGGGCAAATTATTGCCCTTGAGCTGGCAATCGCTGTCAGTAATGTGGCTAAGCAGAAGTTACATAACAAAGCTTTTTTGAAGACCATGACCTCAGGCACACCATAAGGAACATTTTGCATTGGCCGGGAATCGGACCCGGGTCTCCCCCGTGGCAGGCAAGAATTCTACCACTGAACCACCAATGCTCTACATCTTCCAAAAGACACTTCACTGTGTGATCGGTACATTCAGGCAGGTTATGCTTCATGGGTCCCGAAATAGATGGAAGATGAGGAAGACTTATTGATCTTGGGTTAAAAAATCTTTAACGAGAGGCACATCATTTGAGGCGGCACATTGACGACAAGATTCATGAGGGTAAATTATTGCCCTTGAGCTGGCAATCGCTGTCAGTAATGTGGATTAGCAGAAGTTACATAACAAAGCTTTTTTGAAGACCATGACCTCAGGCACACCATAAGGAACTTTTTGCATTGGCCGGGAATCGGACCCGGGTCTCCCGCGTGGCAGGCGAGAATTCTACCACTGAACCACCAATGCTCTACATCTTCCAAAAGACACTTCACTGTGTGATCGGTACATTCAGGCAGGTTATGCTTCATGGGTCGCGAAATAGATGGAAGATGAGGAAGATTTATTGATCTTGGGTTAAAACATCTTTAATGAGAGGCACATCATTTGAGGCGGCACATTGACGACAAGATTCATGAGGGCAAATTATTGCCCTTGAGCTGGCAATCGCTGTCAGTAATGTCATTACTGTCAGGCACATCATTTGAGGCGGCACATTGACGACAAGATTCATGAGGGCAAATTATTGCCCTTGAGCTGGCAATCGCTGTCAGTAATGTGGATTAGCAGAAGTTACATAACAAAGCTTTTTTGAAGACCATGACCTCAGGCACACCAAAATTAACTACTTGCATTGGCCGGGAATCAGACCCGGGTCTCCCGCGTGGCAGGCAAGAATTCTACCACTGAACCACCAATGCTCTACAGTCACATGACGACACGTCCTTGTGTGATTGGTACATTCAGGGAAGGAGTTTATGCTTCATGGGTCGCGAAATAGATGGAAGATGATGAAGACTTATTGATCTTGGGTTAAAACATCTTTAACGAGAGGCACATCATTTGAGGCGGCACATTGACGACAAGATTCATGAGGGCAAATTATTGCCCTTGAGCTGGCAATTGCTGTCAGTAATGTGGATTAGCAGAAGTTACATAACAAAGCTTTTTTGAAGACCATTACCTCAGGCACACCATAAGGAACTTCTTGCCTTGGCCGGGAATCGGACCCAGGTCTCCCACGTGGCAGGCGAGAATTCTACCACTGAACCACCAATGCTCTACAGTCACATGACGACACTTCCTTGTGTGATTGGTACATTCAGGGAAGGAGGTTATGCTTCATGGGTCGCGAAATAGATGGAAGATGAGGAAGACTTATTGATCTTGGGTTAAAACATCTTTAACGAGAGGCACATCATTTGAGGCGGCACATTAACGACAAGATGCATGAGGGCAAATTATTGCCCTTGAGGTGGCAATCGGTGTCAGTAATGTGGATTAGCAGAAGTTACATAACAAAGCTTTTTTGATGACCATGACCTCAGGCACACCATAAGGAACTTCTTGCATTGGCCGGGAATCGGACCCGAGTCTCCCGAGTGGCAGGCGAGAATTCTACCACTGAACCACCAATGCGCTACATCTTCCAAAAGACACGTCACTGTGTGATCGGTAGATTCAGGGAGGTTATGCTTCATGGGTCGTGAAATAGATGGAAGATGAGGAAGATTTATTGATCTTGGGTTAAAACATCTTTAACGAGAGGCACATCATTTGAGGCGGCACATTAACGACAAGATTCATGAGGGCAAATTATTGCCCTTGAGGTGGCAATCGGTGTCAGTAATGTGGATTAGCAGAAGTTACATTTGATGACCATGACCTCAGGCACACCATAACGAACTTCTTGCATTGGCCGGGAATCGGACCCGGGTCTCCCGAGTGGCAGGCGAGAATTCTACCACTGAACCACAAATGCTCTACATCTTCCAAACGACACGTCACTGTGTGATCGGTACATTCAGGCAGGTTATGCTTCATGGGTCGTGAAATAGATGGAAGATGAGGAAGACATTGATCTTGGGTTAAAACATCTTTAACGAGAGGCACGTCATTTGAGGCGGCACATTGACGACAAGATTCATGAGGGCAAATTATTACCCTTGAGCTGGCAATCGCCGTCAGTAATGTGGATTAGCAGAAGTTACATAACAAAGCTTTTTTGAAAACCATGACCTCTGGCACATCATTAGTAACTTTCTGCATAGGCCGGGAATCTGACCCAGGTCTCCCGCTTGGGAAGCGAGAATTCTACCACTGAACCATCAATGCTCTACAGCCTCATAGCGACACGTCCTCGTGTGATTGTTACATTCAGGGAAGGAGGTTGCTTCATGGGTCGTGAAATAGATGAAAGATAAGGAAGACTTATTGATCTTGGGTTAAAACATCTCTAACGAGAGGCACATCATTTGAGGCGGAACATTGACGACAAGATTCATGAGGGCAAATTATTGCCCTTGAGCTGGCAATCGCTGTCAGTAATGTGGATTAGCAGAAGTTACATAACAAAGCTTTTTTGAAGACCATGACCTCAGGCACACCATAAAGAACTTCTTGCATTGGCCGGGAATCGGACCCGGGTCTCCCGCGTGGCAGGCGAGAATTCTACCACTGAACCACCAATGCTCTACATCTTCCAAAAGACACGTCACTGTGTGATCGGTAGATTCAGGGAGGTTATGCTTCATGGGTCGTGAAATAGATGGAAGATGAGGAAGATTTATTGATCTTGGGTTAAAACATCTTTAACGAGAGGCACATCATTTGAGGCGGCACATTAACGACAAGATTCATGAGGGCAAATTATTGCCCTTGAGGTGGCAATCGGTGTCAGTAATGTGGATTAGCAGAAGTTACATAACAAAGCTTTTTTGATGACCATGACCTCAGGCACACCATAAGGAACTTCTTGCATTGGCCGGGAATCGGACCCGGGTCTCCCAAGTGGCAGGCGAGAATTCTACCACTGAACCACAAATGCTCTACATCTTCCAAACGACACGTCACTGTGTGATCGGTACATTCAGGCAGGTTATGCTTCATGGGTCGTGAAATAGATGGAAGATGAGGAGGACATTGATCTTGGGTTAAAACATCTTTAACGAGAGGCACGTCATTTGAGGCCGCACATTGACGACAAGATTCATGAGGGCAAATTATTGCCCTTGAGCTGGCAATCGCTGTCAGTAATGTGGATTAGCAGAAGTTACATGACAAAGCTTTTTTGAAAACCATGACCTCTGGCACATCATTATTAACTTTCTGCATAGGCCGGGAATCTGACCCAGGTTTCCCGCTTGGGAAGCGAGAATTCTACCACTAAACCATCAATGCTCTACAGCCTCATAACGACACGTCCTCGTGTGATTGGTACATTCAGGGAAGGAGGTTGCTTCATGGGTCGTGAAATAGATGAAAGATAAGGAAGACTTATTGATCTTGGGTTAAAACATCTCTAACGAGAGGCACATCATTTGAGGCGGAACATTGACGACAAGATTCATGAGGGCAAATTATTGCCCTTGAGCTGGCAATCGCTGTCAGTAATGTGGATTAGCAGAAGTTACATAACAAAGCTTTTTTGAAGACCATGACCTCAGGCACACCATAAGGAACTTTTTGCATTGGCCAGGAATCGGACCCGGGTCTCCCGCGTGGCAGGCGAGAATTCTACCACTGAACCACCAATGCTCTACATCTTCAAAAAAACACGTCACTGTGTGATCTGTAGATTCAGGGAGGTTATGCTTCATGGGTAGCGAAATAGATGAAAGATGAGGAAGACTTATTGATCTTGAGTTAAAACATCTTTAACGACAGGCACATCATTTGATGCGGCACATTGAGGGGAAATTATTGCCCTTGAGCTGGCAATCGCTGTCAGTAATGTGGATTAGCAGAAGATACATAACAAAGCTTTTTTGAAGACCATGACCTCTGGCACATCATAATTAACTTCCTGCATTGGCCGGGAATCGGACCCGGGTCTCCGGCTTGGGAAGCGAGAATTCTACCACTGAACCACCAATGCTCTCCAGCCTCATAACGGCACGTCCTCGTGTGATTGGTACAATCAGGGAAGGAGTTTATGCTTCATGGGTCGCGAAATAGATGAAAGATAAGGAAGACTTATTGATCACATTGACGACAAGATTCATGAGGGTAAATTATTGCCCTTGAGCTGGCAATCGCTGTCAGTAATGTGGATTAGCAGAAGTTACATAACAAAGCTTTTTTGAAGACCATGACCTCAGGCACACCATAAGGAACTTTTTGCATTGGCCGGGAATCGGACTCGGGTCTCCCGCGTGGCAGGCGAGAATTCTACCACTGAACCACCAATGCTCTACATCTTCCAAAAGACACTTCACTGTGTGATCGGTCCATTCAGGCAGGTTATGCTTCATGGGTCGCGAAATAGATGGAAGATGAGGAAGATTTATTGATCTTGGGTTAAAACATCTTTAATGAGAGGCACATCATTTGAGGCGGCACATTGACGACAAGATTCATGAGGGCAAATTATTGCCCTTGAGCTGGCAATCGCTGTCAGTAATGTGGCTTAGCAGAAGTTACATAACAAAGCTTTTTTGAAGACCATTACCTCAGGCTCACCATAAGGAACATTTTACATTGGCCGGGAATCGAACCCGGGTCTCCTGAGTGGCAGGCGAGAATTCTACCACTGAACCATCAATGCTCGACATCTTCCAAAAGACACGTCACTGTGTGATCGGTACATTCAGGCAGGTTATGCTTCATGGGTTGAAAAATAGATGGAAAATGAGGAAGATTTATTGATCTTGGGTTAAAACATCTTTAACGAGAGGCACATCATTTGAGGCGGCACATTGACGACAAGATTCATGAGGGCAAATTATTGCCCTTGAGCTGGCAATCGCTGTCAGTAATGTCATTACTGTCAGGCACATCATTTGAGGCGGCACATTTACGACAAGATTCATGAGGGCAAATTATTGCCCTTGAGCTGGCAATCGCTGTCAGTAATGTGGATTAGCAGAAGTTACATAACAAAGCTTTTTTGAAGACCATGACCTCAGGCACACCAAAATTAACTACTTGCAATGGCCGGGAATCAGACCCGTGTCTCCCGCGTGGCAGGCAAGAATTCTACCAATGAACCACCAATGCTCTACAGTCACATGACGACACGTCCTTGTGTGATTGGTACATTCAGGGAAGGAGTTTATGCTTCATGGGTCGCGAAATAGATGGAAGATGATGAAGACTTATTCATCTTGGGTTAAAACATCTTTAACGAGAGGCACATCATTTGAGGCGGCACATTGACGACAAGATTCATGAGGGCAAATTATTGCCCTTGAGCTGGCAATCGCTGTCAGTAATGTGGATTAGCAGAAGTTACATAACAAAGCTTTTTTGAAGACCATGACCTCAGGCACACCATAAGGAACTTCTTGCCTTGGCCGGGAATCGGACCCAGGTCTCCCACGTGGCAGGCGAGAATTCTACCACTGAACCACCAATGCTCTACAGTCACATGACGACACGTCCTTGTGTGATTGGTACATTCAGGGAAGGAGGTTATGCTTCATGGGTCGCGAAATAGATGGAAGATGAGGAAGACTTATTGATCTTGGGTTAAAACATCTTTAACGAGAGGCACATAATTTGAGGCGGCACATTAACGACAAGATTCATGAGGGCAAATTATTGCCCTTGAGGTGGCAATCGGTGTCAGTAATGTGGATTAGCAGAAGTTACATAACAAAGCTTTTTTGAAGACCATGACCTCAGGCACACCATAAGGAACTTCTTGCCTTGGCCGGGAATCGGACCCAGGTCTCCCACGTGGCAGGCGAGATTTCTACCA